CGAGCCCATGGAGGAGGAGGACGCAGTCGGCGAATTGGAGGAGGAGAGGAGGAGGGCGCAGTCGACGAATGGGAGGAGGAGGGCGCAGTTGACATTGTCGTGTCTGACTCAGAGGAGGAGTTGGAGGTGCAGCCATGGGTGCTCCGGCAACCTAACCTGATCCAGAAGCTCGCCGACGTTGTCACTCAACGTGCGTCATGCGTGCTCGAGCTTGAGGGAGGAGCTCAGCTAACGCTTCGGCCAGCCCCCCAGCGCCGCCGCCCACCGCCACCCACAAAGCACCTGCTCTACTATCCCGTACCTGGCTGGCTGACGCTCACCCCCCCCGCTCCACTTTCCCCTGATCATGCCCGTGATAGCACCATCACTGTCGCCGTCCTGGTTTTGAACGTGGCAGCTAGACTCTAAGGGACTCGGTAGTTGTGACCCCTCGTGAGTGAGGAGCAGGAGAGAGAGCTTTGTGGTGTTGGTGTGGTTGTCTCTCTATCTCCTCTTCTAGCTCTTAGCATGAGCTGCGCCCTGTGTCCGACCCCTTTTGCGCAGCAACACCTTAAACTTTTAGGCCCTCCAAATTCGGGTCGGAGCGTAGCGGAGTGGGCCCCGAGTTTGAAAAGGGCGACGGACGCTTGCGTCCTAGCCTCCAACAACGCCTCCCCGGCGCAGAGGGGCCCCCGGAGGGATGCACAACCGCTCCACGCCACGCCGCTTGCGGCGGTCCTCTTCCCAGCTCCGCTGAGGGCCCGTGCGTTATTTTTCCAGCGATGGCTTCCACCGCGGCGGCGAGGCTAACGGGCAAGGTCGCCCTGGTCACCGGCGCGGGTTCTGGCATCGGCCGCGCGTCCGCCCTCGCGCTCGGCCGCGAGGGTGCCTCTCTCGTCCTCGTCGGCCGGCGACAGGCGCCGCTGGAGGAGACTGCGGGAGCGCTGAAGGCGCTCGACCCGGCCGCTGCTCCGCTGGTGCAGCCGACGGACTGCACCGATCCGGCGGCCGTGTCGGCGCTCTTCCGTGCCGTCGAGGAGCGTCACGGCCGCCTGGATGTCCTATTCAACAACGCGGGATCGGGCGCGCCGCCTCAGAGATCACTCACTCCGACCTCTGAGAGACTTGCGAGAGGCGCGTGAAATGTCGAGCGGCGTCGGAGACGCCGCATGCGTTCCGGTCGCACGTGACGGAGCTTGCAACTCTCAGGCGCCCCGGCTCTGCCCCTGGACGAGCTGCCGGTGGAGGAGTGGCGGTGAGATCCGCCGAGATCCGCCGAGATTGGTCGAGATCAGCTTAGAAGGAGATCAGCCACCCGCTGCCTGAGCCCGGCGTGAGAGACCTCCAGTCTCAGCGGGCGCGAGTCTGCGCCCCTCGACCCTCTGCCGAGCCCACGCCGCCTCCCTGCCGCCTCTGCTGCCAGCCGAGTGCTCAGCAATAATAATAATAATAGTAATAATCTCTGCTGCCAGCCGAGTGCTCGACGTCAACCTGTCCGCCGTCTTCCTCTGCTCGCGCGAGGCGTTCGCTCTGATGAAGCGGCAGGCGCCGCAGGGCGGCCGCATCATCAACAACGGCGACCCGCACACACCCCGCCGGACGCGCCTCCACGCACCTTAGCCACACCTCCGCCTCCGCCGCACCTCGGCCACACCTCGGCCGCACCTCGGCCGCACCTCGGCCGCACCTCGGCTGTATCTCGGCTGCACCTCGGCCGCACCTCGGCTACAGGCTCCGTCTCGGCGGACCGGCCGCGACCAAACAGCGCCCCCTACACCGCGACCAAGCACGCGGTGACCGGCCTCACCAAGAGCTGCTCGCTCGACGGCGAGATGTCGCCGAGACTGGCTCCGAGAGGAGTCCGAGAGGGGACGGAGGGAGTCGCGGCCATCTTCGGCCAGCTGTGAGTAGAGACGCGTGTGGCTGGCACGCTAGGCCGGCCGTGGAACATCGCCTGCGGCCAGATCGATATTGGCAACGCCGACACGTCGCTCGCCGCCGCCTTCAAGACGGGCGTGCCGCAGGCGAGATCGAGCCGAGATCGAGCCGAGATCGAGCCGAGATCCGGCCCAGCTTTGGTGCGGCGAGACCGCCGCCGACCAAACTCGCTGCCTCCCATCTCGGTACATCTCGGCTCAACTCTCGGTCAGTCAATCTCGGTACACCTCGGCCGGCTGCAGCTCGGCTGCATCTCGGCTGCATCTCGGCAGGCGAACGGCGAGGTCAAGACAGAGCCCACGATGGACGTGGACGACGTCGGCCGCGCGGTGGCGTACATGGCGTGCGGTAGCCGAGATGGAGCCGGGGCGGAGTTGAGATGCAGGCGAGGCGTGGCCGAGGTTCAGCCGACAGCGCGTGCCGTGAGTAGGCGAGTCTGCCGCTCGAGGCGAACGTGCTGCAGATGACGGTCATGGCCAACAGCATGCCACTCATCGGCCGAGGCTAGCGCCAAGTCAGCTCGGGCAAGGTTGAGTAGAGAAGTGCATGTCGTGAGGCGGCGGCCACGCGCGATTCGCCGGTATGGCTTGCGACCGAATAATTTTGTACCGAGGGTTGCCGCGCAGCGCGAGACGCGAGAGTTTGCTCTAGTTCGGTGGTCGCCTCCGGTTACCCCCCGCCGCTGAACGTCTTTTCTCTCTTCATAAGGCCCTCTGCGCAGCACAGGACGAGTTTTGCCCGCGCTGCATCAAAAATTTGTTTACGCATTACGGGAGAGACACGACCCCCCCAGACGCCAGAGCGCGGTGGCCGGTGCAGCTGGCTCGTGGCAGCGCCGCCCCTCTCGGCCGTGCCAGGCGGAATCCGGAAAGCGAAAGACTTCCGTCACATCTCACACACACGTACCAGCACGGCGAGCAAGTCCTCGCGCCGGCTGCTCCTGTGGGCTTGCCCACTGGCCGAATCACGCGCGACCAGCGCTCCGGCGTGACTCCGACAGCGGACAGACCCGGCCGGAGGGGAAGCTGCACGGTGACCCGCAATCACTTTCCGAAGGAGATGTTGTACGAGCCTGTGGCCGGGTCCTTCTCCGCCTTGAAGTTGTCGAGCGACATGCCGAACCGGCCGAGGATGTTGTTGCCTGCGGCCGGGAGAGAGGTTGAGAGAGAGAGAGAAAGAGAGCCGCGCTGCACCGCTGTGCCCGCACAAACCCGGCCACATCTCCAGCCGCATCTCCGGCCCCCTCCATGTGCCCCCTCTCTGCTACATCGCCGCCCAAGTCCTTCAGCTTCCCGAGCATCTCCTCCTTCTGCGCCTCCAGCTTTGCCGCCGCCGCAGCCTACTGCCAGGACCAGACACGGTGCAGAAGGCTCACACCGCTTCCCAGCCTCGCCGCCGCCGTCGCCTCCAGCCGAGGCAGCGCCGCCGTCGCCTCGCGCCGCTCCTTGGAGCCGGAGGGCGCCTGTGGGGGAGGTGGGGCACCGAGGTGCGGCCGAGGTGCGGCCGAGGTGCGGCCGAGGTGCGGCCGAGGTGCGGCCGAGGTGCGGCCGAGGTGCGGCCGAGAAGTAGCAGAGAAGAGGCGGCGCCTGCTCCGCTACGCTCCTCATGTCCTCGGCCGCCTCCGAAGGCTCGTCCAGCGCCTCGCGCGCCTTTGCGCGGCGCAGCAGCACCTGAGCCGCGAGCAAGACAGGCGGGTCCGGAGCCTCGGAAGGGTCTCGTAAGAGTCTTGTCGCAGCAGCGCCTTGACGTAGCCTGGTCGCAGGGCCAGCGCCGCCGAGCAGTCCGCCACCGCGTTCTGGTGCTCGCCAAGCCTCGCGTAGCAGGCGGCGCGGTTGCCGTAAAACACCGCCCGCTCGGCGCACTCTGCGGCCACAGACACGAGGGATCCGCAGCGAGTGCGATGGCGGAGCCAGCGGAGCGGCGAGGTGAGGGGCGAGGTGAGATGAGAGCGCACTGAGGCCGCTGGCTAGGAAAGGGCGCGGGAAAGGCGCTCGGGGCGAGTGCGGCAGGAAGCGGTCGCAGGGTCCGCAACCAGATCAGATGAGTCTCGGGTGTGCGATATGCTGACAGCGAATTTTACGACAGAGGCGTGGCGAGGCGCGCCGTCAGTGACTGCGTCGATGGCATCCGAGTAGTACTCAAGCGCCTCCACGTACTCGCCCGCGCCGAAAGCCGTGTTGCCCTGCTCCTTGGACAGCAGCGCCTCTGCCAGCGCCCGCGCCGCCGCCACCCTGCTCGGCTCGGACGGACCCATCCCGGCCGCAGCCTCGGCGATCGCGACACCGACTCCCCTCAAGCCGCTGCGCTGGTCAGCGGGTGTGGGCCTCGCGAGCGCGGGCGCGGGCGCGGGGATCTCCTCGATTATCGCCATTCTCGAGGCGCGGCGCGGCGACTTTCTTGGGCAGCCCTTGAGAGCCGAGCGAGTTCTTTTATACAGGCCAAGTCAGGTTTTTGCTCATGGTGCATCCACTCACACCACCGCAGTACAATCGATTGAGTCCGGGTTTTTTATGCGTATGATTGTAAGGGCGTGGGGACCCGCCCCAGGACAGGCTCTGGCGTATGATGGAGCGCTCTGGTGCCGAGGAGAGCCGCTGGCACGAGGTAGATGTGAAGCCACGACGGGTCGATACAGCAGGCCGACCAGAGAGTGCAGAGTGAGCACTGCCCCTCTCCAAGATCGACTCCTGTGGAGAAGCCCGCCTAGGACCATCAAGGGGAGGCCAGGTACACTTGACCCGCGCAAAGAGCTCTTCCGAAACTGCGAAACAAAGTCTCCTGACACGTGCTCCCTCTGGACAGGCGGTTGGAGGGATGGACGAGATGGGAGGCGGCACCGGCAGCCTAGATGGCCGGAATGCGAGAATACACCGAGATCGCTCCAGATTACTCGAGATCTTCCTAGATCGGGAACGCACTCATGCATCAGGGCGAGCATCGAGAGGACGCGTCACCTGCTGCGGCTCAGCGCTCTCAGCAGACACTGTATTGCACCTCGTTGGACCTAATTTCACACCCACACTTGCCGCCGCTCACTTCGAACGGTGAGCAGCGCCTCTCCACATTTCTAGCTGTGACCAGGCATGCCGATGGACGGCGGGATGGGCGACATGGGCGGCATGGGCGGCATGGGCGGCATGGGCGGCATGGGCGGCATGGGCGGCATGGACTCGGCCCCGCCCGACTTTTCGATGCCCACCGTCGGCCCTCTCGCAGAGTGGAGGATGACACAGGCGCGCGAGCTGCCCTCCTCTTGCCCCCCCCCCCCCCCTGGCGCTTGTGCTAGTCCGTACCGCTGGAGACCCACCTGGCCTTGGGAGTGCCCCTTCCGACGCCCCTCCCGCTGCGTGCAGGAGAACAAGCTCGCCGAGCGTGCTTCGGTCGCCGCAGCGGCACTGTCCGAGAAGCAGGCCGAGGCGCGGAGCGCGCTCGACCAGTTTTACGCGGAGCGGAAGGTGAAGAGCGAGGCCAAGGCAAAGAGCAACAAGGAGGAGGAGGCGCCCTTCTTCCTGCGTTCGCCAGCGCTACGCGTGAAGGAGGACCAATCATTCACCGCACGAGGCGTGACCCGCGTAGGCGTCCTTCGTGGCCGACCGCGACGCGACAATGGCCACGGACAGCTGGGAGTCGGTGATGCTTGCCCAGCCTCACCTCAAAATCGCACCGTTCAATCCTGGACCGCATATAGCTCTCCAGCTAACCCAGCTCCTCCGCCCCCCCCCCCCCCGCCGCCGCCGCCGCCCGCCGCCGCCGCTAAGATTTGCAAGATGGTGGACCTCAACGTCAAGGATGGCGAGAAAGACAACCCAAAGCCGGTGCGCGCCCAAGCGAACCCCAAGAGAGTCAAAAGAGACTTTGCTCCACATTTTGCCGGCACGCTTCTCTAGGTGGACCGTATGCGCGGGATGCTCTTCAAGCTCAAGGCGGCGCCCGCGGCTGGGGTGGCGTTCTGAGACCGCCCAATCGAGTTGGTGAGGCGGGCACCCGCCCCACTTGCTTGTGTCTCGCGCGGAGCGGGACAGGTTGAGCCGCACATGAAGCGAGAGGGAGTACTCCGCACAGCTGGATCGCGTCGCCTTTGTAGTGCCTTTTTTTGTGCACCATTGGAGCACTTGGAGTGCAGTCATTAATCTCACATCCAGGGCCGGGGAGGGCTAAGAAGCGCACCCAGCGGGCCGGATGATTGGCATCGGGTTGCGGGCAAGAAAGCCCTAGGCCTAGCCCTGGGGGTGCGCGGTCGCAGCACGCAGGGAAATTAAGGGCCTTAAAGTAAACACGGGTCCCCGAGGGTTAGCTCTGCGCTCCGGGTTTCCCCTAGCAGCGGAACGCCCCCTCTACTCGGGGCTAGTAGACACCAGACACTAGCACGACAACACACACATTCCTCACTGACATCACCGCTCGGAACCCCCCGCGCACGGTCTCCTCACCAGGCCCATCATTTTTTGTCAGTATGGCTATCAGCATGGCGATGCTTGGGCTGGAGTCATTCCGGTGCCGGTTGGCTGGAGTCCTACGATTCATCCGTCAGCTAAGCCTGCTCCGACTCGTCCCGCGCTGGGTGCGCGCTCGCGTGCGACGCCATCACGGCGGCTGGAAATACGCTTGCGACTCCGCCAACCATCGCAAGTGGCTGGCTCCGGCTCTCGAGGCGGCGGGGTTGCGGGAAGAGGAAGAGGGCTGGCGCGGCACTGCGGCGGTGCGCTGGACGCTGCGGAAGCGCGTACTGCCCGACCCGGTTGGCGCCGCAGCCTTCAACTGCCTGCCACAGCTGCAGCTGCTCGACGACAAGGCGTTGCTGGCGCTGCTCTGCCGCTCCTTCTCACGCACGGCGCCGCTAGTCACGCACGTGATTTACGGCGAGTGGGACGCCGCGCGCCTCGCGGCACTGCGCGAGCGGTGGGGCGCCTCTGCGTGCGACGAGCCGCGCTGGTTTCCAGATAGATGGGAGCAAGGTCACGGCACTGGAGCATTGGAAGGGTTCGAGTGGCGGCGGCGGTCACACGAGCAAGACAGAGACAGCAAAGGGCTGGCGGCGCCCCGACGCAGCGACCTCCCTTCTAACCTCCAGCCGTGCGTAGGTGGATCATCAAGGACGCGCACTCGTCGAACGGCTTCTCCGCCGCGCTGCTCGACCTGATTTGACTGGTGAAAGTGAGCCTCACCTCGATATTTAATCAGTTAGGCTTCTCCGCCGCGCTCTTCGACCGGCTCTCCCGGCCGCTCGAGCCGACGGACGTGCCGGGAGGCTACTGCTACGTGGTGCAGCAGTACGTCGACCGCCCGCTGCTGCTCGGCGGACGCAAGTTCGAGCTGCGGCAGTACGTCCTCCTCTGCGGCGACGGCGCCGGCTTCACCTACTCGACCGCCCTGCTGCGCCTCGCGTCGGTGCCGTACGAGCTTCGCTCCGAGGACCGCCGCGCGCACATCACCAACAAGTACGTGCAGACTGGGTGGGAGAGCACGTCGGAGCTGGTCGGCTCGCTGGACGACATCGAGTGGACCTCGGCCCGGTGGCCAGGCTACGAGCGGCTGCTCGAGGCGTCCCTCCTCCCCCTCCTGCGGGACCTGCTCGACGTGCTGCAGCCGCTGCTCGAGCGAGGCCGCCGCGCCGCGCCCGCCTCCGCCTCGCCGCTCCACTTCGAGCTCTTCGCCTGCGACCTCGTCGTGACCGCCGAAGGGGTGTGCAACCGAGATCCAGCCGAGATCCAGCCGAGATCCAGCCGAGATCCAGCCGAGATCCAGCCGAGATCCAGCCGAGATCCAGCCGATCTCCTGGGACAGGTGGCACACCTTATGGAGGTCAACATCAACCCTGCCTTCGGCGCTTTCTCGGAGGCGACGCAGGCCGCCCTCGTGCGCCCCCTCTTCGCCGACCTCGCCGCCCTCGTCCTCCTCGTCGCCGCACGTCAGCTCGCCCTCCCACACCGTCTCTTCACAGCCCCACCCCTGTGAACAGGTCCTCCTCCCCGCAGCCGGCGAGCCGCCCCGCGCCGGGCGCTTTCGGCAGATCAGGGCCGCGGGGCAAGGCGCAGCGGCCACCGTCGCAGGCAGCGTGGCTGATGGCGAGGGCGGCGGTGAAGCCGGCGGCAGCGGCGGCAGCGGCGGCGCAGGTGCAGATAGCGCAGGCGGCTCAGACCGCAAAGGCGGCTCAGGCGCGGGCGGAGGCGGAGTCGGGCTCCCGCCAAAGGCGGTGGACGACCTCGCGGCGCACACGGCGTACATGCTCTTCAAGAAGAGCCACCGAAAGCGGTACGAGCGGCAGCCGAAGCCGAGCCCGTTGTGGCGCGGCGCGGCGGGCGGCGCGGGGGAGAGTGCCGGCAGCAGCTGCATGTCGGCTGCCGCCACGTCAAATGGCCGGCTTTAAAACGTTACTGTCACTTAGCGTCTACGTACAGTTTGTGGTTAAGAGAGTGGTGTCATTGGAAGAACGACGAAAACGAAATAATCCGCGCCGGATGCTGATCCCCGGGCGTGTGTGCGTGCGAGTGCTCTGTGTGCAGTGTGGCCTCCAAATCACCCCTCCCACCACTACCGAGCCAGCTCGAGCAAACGAGGGAGCGCCGAGCCGCAGCCGAGGTGCGAGGATGACAGTACCGCGCGTGATTCAAAGCTACAACACCTCGACCTCCGCCTCGCACCCTATCAGCGGCGCCAACGAGAGCCGCTCCAGCACCAACCGCGGCGTCTCATCGCGAATCAGCAACTTGTGCCGCCCGGCGGGCACATCCTCCGGCACCCGAAGCCGCGCCACCACCGGCCCGCCAAGCTCTGGCGAGAGGACACTGCCAATCGGCCAAAATTGTGGCTCTGCGGCGTCGTCGTCGGCCGGAGCCGCCTCGAGCGCCACGCCCAGCGTCCGGCCCCACTCCTCTGGCGCCGGGAGCGCGCGGTCGTCGTGCGCCGCGTCGTGCGCCGCCTCCACCTCCTCCCCTGTGGCCTCCGAGAACGGCGTCGCCGCCACCCTCACCTCCACCCTCACCGCCGCCCTCACCGCCGCCCCCTTCACCGCCCCCCACGCCGCCGCCCTCGCCGCCGCCCTCGCCGCCACCACCCTCACCGCCGCCGCCCTCGAGCTCCGCGCCCTCGTCTGCGCCCTCCTCTTCGCCCTCGTCAGCTTCGAGCTCTGCCCCGTCGTCATCGCCCAGCGCCGCACCCTCCTCTTCTCCATCGTCAGCTTCGAGCTCCGCCCCGTCGTCATCGCCCAGCGCCGCACCCTCCTCTTCGCCCTCGTCGGCTCCTAGCTCCGCCCCCTCCTCTTCGCCCTCGTCAGCTTCGAGCTCCGCCCCCTCCTCCGCCCCCTCCGCCGCTCCCTCCTCTGCACCCAGTTCGACGGCTTCGCCTACCGCGTCGCCCACTCCGTCGCCCACCTCCCCGCCGCCCTCACCACCACCGCCCTCGCCGCCACCGCCCTCGCCGCCGCCCTCACCTCCACCCTCACCGCCGCCCTCACCGCCGCCGCCCTCGCCGCCGCCCTCGCCGCCGCCCTCGCCGCCGCCCTCGCCGGCCGCCGCCCTCGCCGCCACCCTCACCTTCACCCTTACCGCCGGCCTCACCGCCGCCCCCTTCACCGCCCCCCACGCCGCCGCCCTCGCCGCCGCCCTGGCCGTCACCACCCTCACCGCCGCCGCCCTCGAGCTCCGCGCCCTCGTCTGCGCCCTCCTCTTCGCCCTCGTCAGCTTCGAGCTCTGCCCCGTCGTCATCGCCCAGCTCCGCGCCCTCCTCTTCTCCGTCGTCATCGCCCAGCGCCGCACCCTCCTCTTCTCCATCGTCAGCTTCGAGCTCCGCCCCGTCGTCATCGCCCAGCGCCGCCCCCTCCTCTTCTCCATCGTCGGCTCCTAGCTCCGCCCCCTCCTCCTCGCCCTCGTCAGCTTCGAGCTCCGCCCCCTCCTCCGCCCCCTCCGCCGCTCCCTCCTCTGCACCCAGTTCGACGGCTTCGCCTACAGCGTTGCCGACGGCTTCGCCTACCGCGTCGCCCACTCCGTCGCCCACCTCCCCGCCGCCCTCACCACCACCGCTCTCGCCGCCGCCGCCCTCGCCGCCGCCCTCACCTCCACCCTCACCGCCGCCCTCACCGCCGGCGCCCTCGCCGCCGCCCTCGCCGACGCCGTCGCCGCCGCCTGCCCCACCAACGGCATCGGGGACCCCGCCCTCCCCGACGCCGCCCGTAACACC